CAACAGAATACAAAGAATAGAAGTCCTTTCATCAGCTTGCTTCTGTGTTTTGAGAACACCTCTGCTTTAAAACTGACAGGATTTTAGCGTGGCGTGGCAATGTGTTTTGCTTCGCATTGCTTTTTTAACAGAGTATAATTTCACTTTAAAGCATTTTCCTCTAAGTGCTCAGAAATCGTAACCGGTAACACACTTATCTTACTAGCCAGCTTAAAGTTGGATTTGCCAGAAGGCTTTGAACAAGTAAATGTGACCGAAAACTTGTGTTAAAAGACAATTGTTTCTTTAACTTCTTTGAGTGGCTCAGAACCTGGTTAAAGTTCACAGGCTGGGAGACCTTTTTTTTTTCCCCTTTCCATCCTAGGGATCCAGCTACCCTTGCAGCTGGCCATAAATGAGGACCAGGCTTTGCCACTCCATGCTTTCACAAGGTATCGTTAGGTCAGCAAAGCCATCAATTAGGCTGTCTGAAGTTTTATCACCAGCGCAGCAGCAATAAGTGCCGGCCCAGAAAGACTTCTGCTCTTCTGCAACTCCTGCGGTTGGCGCCTGCAAAAGCGGGGGTCGTTTGGAGGTCAGTGCCAGCTGGGGGCCGAGCGGGGACACCCCGCACAAGGCCACCGCCCGCCCGAAACTCAGGCACCTTTCAACTCCTTAGAAACCCCCAGTTGCAGGTACATGTGGTTAATATTAGGCCCAAAATAATTTTTTTTTTTCCCTCTCAAACCGGGGCAGTTGCTGAGGCTTTTGAGCGCCAGTAAAGGCAGTTAGTTGGCTGCAGAGCCTGGATTTAATTTTGCTGGTAATCTAAAAATAAGTGCTTGCATATTTCCTATTAGCTTAATGCGCAGCGATCCACATCAGCACAAGTTAAGCCAAATTAATTTCCCTAAAATAATTTTTAAACTTGCCTATTCACAGAGTTTCTTTCAAAACAGGGCAATTTTCTATCACTCAGGAGCCACGCTTGTTTTTGTCCCCCCTCTTTGTGTTTGAGAACACTTTGGAGCCTTCGCGCAGGTTTTGTGTGCTATTTCACAGCTCAGGCTTTCGGCTGGTGACCCTTAAGGAGTGCTAATGAAGTCGAATACTAGTGTTTAATCCTCTTCAGAAATACTAACATGCCCATCATCCAAAACAGCCTCCAATAATTGCCATTGGGCCCGATCCAACGCCTAGCGAAGTCTTTCAGTCAGTTAACTGAAAACTAAGTTCATCTGCTCATTTAGTAAATTGCTAGCCTTTATATAGCATCAACTCCTTAAGGCCTTTTGTTGTGCTTCCCTCCTTCCCTCCTTCCCTCCTTCCCTCCCTCCCTCCCTCCCTCCCACCCCCTGGTTAAATTCCTCCACAGATAATAAAAGACAGTGGCACACCTTCGATTGCATCTTCTGTAATCACAGTCATGGAAATTTCATTAGACAGATGCATAAATGCTACAAGTAACACTAAAGGGCTCTTTTGCATCTCTCTGTTTACATCCAAAAGACATTCTTTATTCTTTAGGAGAAGTATAATTTCAGTTGTCAGAAATGTCATCCTGCCTCAGAATTAGTCATGACTTCAGGTATTAAAGTAAAAACTCAGACACAGTCGATGTACTTGTTTATTCCCTCCTGATTGGGGCACAGCGGAGGCATCTCCTACCCCAGCACTGCGATTTCAAGGCCTGTTTCCGTCCTCAAAGACAAAGGTCCCCGATAGGACTTAATTTGCTGAGCTACTTTCCAGTTACGTTACCGTGCTGACCAAATGGAGCCTGACCTGAACCTCCTCTATTCAGCGTGCCTTTTATCAGCTAAAGTTAAGGCCAATAGAGATTAACAGGAAAGCCTGATAAGACTGTTTTCTCTTCTCCTATGAGCTTCTAATGGTGTATACAGATGGTAAGGTTTTAAAGAATGGAACGAACTCTTATTTAGGCCTGTAAAAAATCACAGACAACAGAAACACCCCCCCCACACACATGCACACACTTTCCATCTTACTAACCCCTTTTCTTCAATCAGGCCACTCTTCAGGGAAACCAAATTGCTTTTTCGTTTTTTATTTAAACCCCAACCACTTTTATTATTTACATCTGGTGGTCCCCTTATTTATGTCCCTCTCCACTTCCCTGCACACACACCCCAGCTCACAGGGCTGCGAAGCATTATGGGCCTTGGCTCTCAGCAGGAGAACTCGACACTGTCTTCAAACAAATAATTAAGGGGAAGGTTAAAGGTTCACCCAGAGGTCATATCTTTGGATACTCCTCAGAAAGTTTACATTAGTAAGAAATGGGTGCCCTCTGAAGTGTTCTTTCAATAGGCTCGCACAACAAGGCAGAGCATTAAGAAAATTCTAAGTCCTGAAGGGTTTCAGGCGACAACTGCTTTACCTCCATGAGCAGCAGATTGGGATACTCCACTCCAGCCTTACATATTTGGCAGCCACCACAGAGTAAGTCTTTTGGGACGGGTGTTGAAAACCTAGTCTTGCCCAGCCATTCACTCCCAAAAGAGCTTGGCCTTATTTTACTCTGCCGATGTGACTAAAGCCAGACTTTCACTGTGAACTCTATGTAGAGGCAACTCACTAGTTGTTTTGGAAATGGGAGTTAACACCCTAATAGCAAGTCCCCAGTCTTTGTTGCCCTACAGAAAAATACGGTGATAAAAGCAACCTCATTTGTCCAGTAAAACTTGCAAAAAATAGCACTTGGGTTTGATTTTCCATTTCACTATTTCTCCATTTTTCTTTTGCGCATGTGCATAACTGCAGGTGCAAATGATGTCCTCTAGACCAGCAACACTTTGAAGAGCAGATACACTGTCATATGCTTTGAAAGATATAGGAGCACAGAGACTTTAGGCATTGAGATAATTTTGAAATTCCATTTCTACGGCTCATCTGAAAAATCCTGTCCATAAACAGCATCAGTTATACCCACGAATGGTTATGTGTGAAAAATTAGATATGAAATTACTTATATTTGCAAAATTGCACGTGCAAAACAGACATACATTTCAGATGAAGCTAAAAATCAGATCTTAGTTGTATTAGCAGTAGCTATATCACATAATGCATCAGCACAATTGGTAGACAAGGGCACAGAACGCAGTGTTTGTGGATTATTATTTATCCTTTTTGCTGCCCCATAAATATGCACAGTGTGTAACAGAGATGTAGAAACAACAGTCCCTGCCCTAGCTTTACATTTGTTGAGGGCTTTTTTTTAATCCCTCAGGGAGTCTTCTCCAGGGCCAAAGTAAAGCAAAATACAGCCTTTTGCCCAGCACTTCAGTTTGTGCATTGCAGAAACGTTGTGATGTTATTTTGGCACAACTGTCTTCAGAAGGCATTAAGAGGCAGGTGAAAGAAGAGAACACCAACGCCACTATTTCCAGCACTATTTGGAACCCTATAAAAGCAGAATTCGCAGCGCTGCTCCTGAAACTAATTGCCTGCCTTGTTCATACCCTTCACCCAGAGGCCCAAAACTGAATGGCCTGAAAAGACGAGCAAAATCTATCAACAAGACATGGATTTCTTTCTTACTCTTCTGTTAATAGTAATTCCTATTATTTGGATGATAGCAGCAGTTAGAGGACCCAGTGAAGCTCAGTCTTACTCCACCCCATGCTGCACAAGCACACCATCCAAGAGAACTCAGGGTCTGAACAGATTTCCAGGCAAAGCTTGGGGGAGAGGAGAGACGCCTTCTCCCTGTTTGCAAAGGGGAATGGAGACAGAAGGAGATTAAGTGACAAGGCCAAAGTCATACAAGAGATCTTTGGCAGAGCCACACACCCAACATAGATTTCCTCAGTCCTGTTTCAGCACTCCTACAATCTGCTATCCATATGCTATCTTTCCTTTGTTCCCCAGCTTAGCAGTCAGGCACACTGGCAGGGGACTGTGAAGAGAGCTCACATTGCCACTGTTTGTGCCTTACCTGCTGTGTAGATAAAGAGGGGTCATCAGCCTCCAGGGCTGTGAGGCGATACCTTCACAAACTCTACATTCATATGGTGCTTGGTCCTCATTCCAGAATGATAAATGAGGTGTGTAATGTTGAGAAATACATGTCATTGACACAGTGCGTTTAATGAAAATCTCACTTCCAGCATTTTGCAAATGACAGATTACCGACCTCTCTTATTCAAACAATAGTCATTTGAATCAAAAGAAGGGGGTTTTACATCTTGTTTTTTTATTTAATTGCTACCTAAAGCAGCCACATGTATTTCCTATAGCCAGAGTCTGTCTTTCTCACACAAGTAGTTCCAGTAACTTTTGTGGGACAATTTATGAAAGCAGAACTAAAAAAGATTTGTCTGAAAATGCACAGCAATATGGACTTCTAAAAGAAGTAATTTCATTTTTATCTGCTTCCAGAAAAAAACAGAAGAGCAGTAAAGGTATACTAGTGAATAAGCAGTGTAGTCTGGCGATCTGGTAGCCCTAGTCCTAATTGGTTCCTACCATTGCTAATTAGCATGACAATATAATCTAAATATATGCATTTAATTGCATCTCTTCAAATAGAGCCTTGGTTTTCTTTGTCCAAAATAAACATGTATTCTGTATTTTATCAGAAGTCCTGTAATTAATCTTCTTTATATATTTATCATATTTTATCTCAAGTCATATCAAATGACATTAAACTCACATTTACATAATACATTTTGCTTTTATAATATATAACGTTCAGATAAAATCGCAGAGCAATATTTCTGCAAAGTGCAAAAGAGAATAAACAGTAAACAGAGCTCTCTTAGTCTGCTTGCTCAAGTCTGGCACATTCAAAAATCATTTCGTTACTGTTTCCACTGTCCTTCTTATATATACTGTACATGTATTTGGAGATGCTGTGACCACTCTGTAAGTGAATCTGAGTAAGACTAGTTATTGAAATGAACTGCTAGTGGCTGTACTGGTCAGTAATCAGAATTAGAACCATCTCCAGCTTTACTCTATGGCTGTCATGGAAAATTCACTTTAAGTACGTAGGGTCA